AGAACCTCTTCACTGTCCGAGCCCCCAAGGGAACAGACTGCTGCTGGAGGTGGTTCAAGCACCCACTTTGAACGCCTTCAAGACACATTTGGATGCTTATTTTGCTGGGATCCTATGATCCCTGCTGACTTCCTGCCCCTGGGGCAGGGCACTGGACTCGATGATCCTCCGGGGTCCCTTCCAGCCCAAATGTCTATGAAATCTATGAAATCTCTGGCTCTTTCCGGCACGTAGGTGGAGGCGGGGCATTGAACCGGGGCTGCACTGGGAAGTTGGCAGTGGCAGCACTGGGAGTAGAGCTACAGTGAAAACTGGCGGTGGCTGCAGCCCCCTCCCAGTGCCGCCAGCACCTGCTCCGAGCCTGCTCCTGGTGAGAAGAACCCTGCGCAGCCCCAACTCCAGCCCACAGCTGCAGCCCACCCTGCACAGATCTGGTGCCACATGCCCCCCCTTCCCATCCCCCTGTGCCCTCCCAGGGTCCAAGCAGAGGCGGGAGCCGCCCCCCTCCACGAGCTGTGGCTCCATCCCATGCCTGTCCTGCCCGGGCTGGGCAGAGTCTGCCCCACCCTCTCCCTCACTGTAGGGGGCGTTGATCTGCCCCCCCGCATGCCCCTTCCCTCTGCCTTCCCCTTCCACCACATCAGACTTACCAGCTGGAGGCAGCAGTATCAAAAATCGAATTATTATCAGCTGATATGCCTCCTTTAATATCGGGTACTGGTACTGCCCCCCACTCTATCAGTGCACCTCTAATACAATCCTATGCTTCTATTATTCTAGGAATATGATAAACACTATTTTGTATTGTTTTACAGCCTAGACATTAACAAATCCTTTATGACCTTTATGAAAACTGCATGCCAAATATATTTCTAACTGTACACCCACCTCTTACTTTTGCTTCCCAAAGTACAGATTTGAGCTCAAAGTGCTGCTAAGTTACATTACATCAACCATGAACTCCACTGGAACTTACACCATGGCTTTAGTTAACATTTTGTTTGCAGAGTTCTGAATTTAAATACAAATGAAATCTGAAATTAAGTTTTAAAGAAAAATACAAAAACTATTCAAGAAAGACTGTTAGTTAGGAAGAGTTAGGAGAGAAGATTTGCTTTACCTTTTGAGGCTGGATCTAAGGAACAGAAGTTTATGTCCTAAACAAAGTTCATACTGGGGTGTTATATTAAGTGAGAAGCTGGCAATATGAAAAAAAAGATAGGAAAAGGGAAGTACACATAAGGACCTGTGTATTCTACATCAAGCTAGAGATCAAATTCAACAGCAGGGTTCCTTAAAATTTCTGTGGCACTGCAATGAACTTTTCATCAACTGAATTTTCTGCAAGTTTCCATTAAAATTGTAAGGTTTACATTTAAGTATGAAAATGAACTGTACATATACTCTATTTTTATATTAAATAGATTAATGGTATTTTAATAGATTTCATAGACATTAGGGCTGGAAGGAACTTTGTGAGATCATTGGGTCCAGCCTCCTGCCCAAGGGGCAGGAAGTCGGCTGGGGTCAGATCACCCCAGCAAGATAAGCATTCAGGCATTTCTTAAAGGTAATGTATTTTCTCCATCTATCTTAAATTTTGTTCTGACTGATAAAAGAGAACTGATTGCAAATATAAGGACGATATAATATCTGATGAGAAGTGATTACAATAGTACAGGATTCATGATTCTAAGAAAAGGAATGCATAGGACTAATAAAATAAGGCAACTAGAATGAAGAAGGGCAGATTTCAAATCAAGAAATAATAAATAATGTCTCATGGGTAGGCAAATTGATGGATAAAAGGATTCAGAGTGGTTGGCAGTTCATAAGGGATATGCTGTTGATGGTTCAACAAGAAGCTCTACTGACATGGTGGAAAGGTAAAAAGCACTACAGAAGATCAACGTGGCTACACAAGAGACTACTCAATTAAAAGGGAAACAGTGAATAGGAAGAGGGCAGGTAACTAAAGAAGCATATAGAAGAACAGCAAGAATGTGCAGAAGCAAAAGCAAAGAGAAAAAAGGATACATAATTAGCTAAATAACTTCAAGTAGATATATAAATGGATCAAAGAAGGCCTAAAGTTTCAAGTGGAATACCACAGGGATCTGTTCTGGGTCTGGTGCTGTTCAATATTTTTCTTAATGATTGGGAAAGGAGAGAAAGCTTCCTGATCAAATTTACATCTGGCACAAAACTGGGGAGGGCTTGCAAACATTTTGGAGGACAGAATTAAATTTTAAAAGGATCTTAGATTGGAGAATTGGGCTCTATATAACAAATGAAATACAGAACCTATGTAAGGTATTAGACTTAAGAAAAAAACAAGTGCACAGATACAGAATAGGAGATAATTGGAGGCAGTAATAATTGCTGAGAAGATTCCAGGGTTTTGACTTAAGAGATACTCAACATGAACAAGTAGTGTGATGCAGTCACCATGAAAAAAAATGAAATTTTGGGCTGCATTAGATGTATAGCCTGTAAGACACAGAAGGTGACAGTACCCCACTACTCAGTTCAGCCACAGTGATCTGTCTACAATTCAAGAAAGATGTGGATAAACTGGAGAAGATTCAGAGGGCAGCAACAAAGATAACAGAAGAGTTGCAATGTAAACCATAGAAAGAAAGGTTGAGAGAACTAGGTTTGTTTAGTTTTGGGGAAAAAAAGATTAAGAAGGAACATGACAGCAGTTTTCAAATATTTGAAAGTCTGCCAAAAACAATTCTCCCCCGCAAAAGAGGGCAGGATAAAGAAATGGATTTAAAGTGCAGCAAAGCTGATTTAGAGTAAATAGCAAAAATACTTCCTTACACTCAGAACAACAAGATAGTGGAACAAACTGCTTAGGGAAGTTTTAGAATCTCCTTCACTGGAGGTTTTCAAGAAGAGGCTGATTGTCTCAAGTAGTATAGGAATAGCACACTGCATTTGGGCACAGGGCTGAACTAGCTCACCTGTGTGATCTCTTCAAAACCCATGTTTCTATGTTCAAATTACAAATTGCAGGTTGTGGCCAAGTAGGAAAAAAAAGAGAGGGGGAAATTCAGTAGCCTTCTGTAGAATACAAGAATTGCTCAGTCTGTCAATCTGAGAGACTGCCCTTTGCGTTTTGATTTTTTGGGTTTTTTTTAATAATTTCACTCCATGTTTTTGCTAGCTCTGATTTTCTTTTCAATGGGTTAACTTGATTTTTTTTTTTTTTTTTTAGAATAATTGGTAGATCACATGGCCCAGAAAAGATGTTTTCAGCTCCCCCAGATCAAAAGATTTTAAGGTATTAGTCTAAAGCTTGTAAGGCATTTTGGACCCTCAGGTAAGAAAAAAAAATAACTAGAGTTCTTAAAGCTGTATTGTTCACGTGCAAAATCTAGAGTGGATGAACTGGAGACCTTTTGCCTTAAGCAGCATGCACAGATGCCCCATGCTCACCTCTGTGGTCTGTACTGAGAGTAAAAAGGGCAGTGTATACTTCCTACTCTTCAAAACTAAAGAATCTTCTAAACTAAAGAATCACAAAATGCCTGGGACTCCAAATAAGAGAGGCTGGAGGACCAAGATGTAGAATATGCATATGGGGATATTCTTTTCAAAGTGATGGCCTTCTTCACAAGATGAGAGAAAAAAAAAGTCACAGACCCTGCCCCCAAAGCTGATTCACATGATGTACCACCCAGAGGGAAAAACTGTCAAAGGGCTGAGATGGGGGACTCCTCTGCTAGTGTTTGCTGGATTCTTTTACCAAATTAAAGAGAACTGGACTAGGTGGGAATTCATATTTCCATATCTAGCAGACTGCTTTTCCCAGTTATATGCTGATCCAAGGTAGTGCTGTATGCATCTCAGGTATTATTTGGCAGGTACCATCATGCAGGTGCATGAAACCATATCATAGATCAATTCAAACCACTGCTAACAGGTTGGCCTCCACCTGTGGCTCTTGAACCTGTTCAGGGGAAGGTAGGCCCTGAATAAACAGGGAGGCCAGGGTGGCTCCTAGAAACTCCAGCCTCTTAACTAGGATCTGTTTACCTATGTTTTAAAAGGTCTAACACAGAAACAGCATAATCTGAACGTCCAGTACCACCTGCTGGGACAATCTGCCATTCACTATCTAGATGTCCAACCATCATTACAACTCAGTGTTAGTTGGTATAAGGTGGGTTTCTATTTCTACAAGGACCTTGCTGAAGTCCCCTGAGGCTGCTAAAAGGTAGGATCTTGTGTAGCTAAAGTAATGGCATACCACAACTCTCAAATACTTTTTTATGAAAACGCACAATACTAATAGAGAAATGTTCACCCTTCATGTCAAGAGGTTCAAAGAAGACCCAAGATTCCAAGGAAAAATACTATGGTCACCATCTTGAACTTTAGTACTGAATGAAGTTCAAGATGGACTGATAATTTCCCTTTTTTTTGGATTAGAAAATAACTAATTACAGAACTCCTTTCCCCAGTGTTGCAGTTCAGCTAGAACAAATGACAGTAACAAACCAGGCTTCTGATCATGTCACCCCACTGCCTGAGGCTTGGTCTCCTCCCACTGTAATAAGCACACATTTTAGTTCTTTACCTTCTCTTCACAACTATCCAATCTGTACTTATCAGAGTCTAGTTTCTTATATCACCCTCATCTTTACTCTTCTACTAATGCTGCCAACATGGTTGGCCTTTTTGTACATTTCTCCTATACTTCTGTAGTTTCTTCCATGCTGCTTCTTGCTTCTCAAACATTCCAAGAAAAAGCAAGTAAAACCAGTTATCCTGTCCTCTCCAAATTCCTCCAAAATGACTCACTTCAACTGTGATTCCTACTGGACTCTGCTAAAATAATGGATGTTTTATATTTATGTAATTTATTGGGGTCTAAACCCAAGCTTTCAATCTCCCTTCTCCCTTTTTTTTGATAATTTCTTCAGATTCATTGTTACACCCATGTGTTGCATTTCAGCATAAAATGGAATACTTTAAATTCATTTCCTTACCTTCATATTGACATTTGCACCATTACAGACCAGAAGCTCTAAACACAATGCTCCATGTGTTGATGCAGCAGCGAAGTGCAAAGGCGTAAAACCTTTCTCATTCATTTGATTTACATTAGCACCACAGTCTATAAGTTCATTTACTACAACATCTTGTCCATTGTAGCAAGCTACATGGAGAGGTGTATTTCCATAGGCATTTGGTTCATTCATCTGTTGTGAAGAAAAATAGCATTTAGTCATCTTGTGCTGTTATGCAGAGCTCCTTCGTGCTGTTCTAGAATACTGCTTAAAGTTGCATTAAAATGGGTTCTGGATTTAGCTCATTGATCAAAAAGAGTCTAGAATGGAACACTGTAAAGCTAAGAGAAAATATCCCAATCTCCAATTTAATTACTGGGAACTGGGGCTTCCATCTGTGGTTGTGAGAAAGGGTGCAAATATTGGGATCTCTTTCCTTCATTCTACAAACCCAAAAGCCTCTGTAGTGCAGGAATGTTTCATTCAAGTTCCCAGCCTTTCAGAGCTGTGAGCATTTGCTGCAGCATTACAAGTTAGATGTACCACACCTGCTTCTGAAGGCAGCAGATATTACACATGCCAAGAACTCCTTTCATTCCTTCATCTCCTTTACACAAATGTCTTGCGTGACTCCCTCCCATCCCTTTCTGTTTTAGAGATCCCCTGCCAAGACCAGACCCTCTTTTCTCTTGCCAGGAGCTCCGAGTCAGATACTATTCGCTCCACCAACAATAGTGTCCTAAGTCTCCCCCCCAAACCTGTAGCTGTGCATACCCCACATGCCAGGGTGCCCCATTCATTCATCTTCTAAATGTCAGAGTCCTCCATTCTCCGCACAATACCAGAAGTTCTATGTATTCACCCCCTCCTCTCAAACTGAGGACCTGAAGAGCTTTCTAGTGGAGAAACTATGGGTGCCAAGTACTTGAAAATGTTGAAGACGACTCCTATCGCATTAATACACAACTGGAGCTCTGTAATGAACTCCAAAATATTTGTTTTCCTTCTCATTTTGAAAAATAAAAGTAGAATCAATGATTTACCCTCAAATTCCTGTGATGCAAGAAAGTTACTAATATCCCACGCTTTACAAATTGGGAAGTGAAGTTAGAAAAAAAAAATCAACTAATTTTCCCCAAATCACCTGGAAAATACATAGCAAGGCTAGGAACAGAACTCTAGTCTCCTGGATCCCAGTCCAGTGCCAGGACTATCATTAAAACTATTATTAAAAGCAAACCTGCCTCTCAGTTCTATGAAAAAAGCTTGAAGTGAACTTTTATGGAGTGAAAATCCCATGAAGTACTTTTATTATTCTGATTCTAACTATTCTCATTCATAAAGAAAAAAAATGTCTGCTCTCTGATCTTGATCAGTAATAGTAACTGATATTTTATGTAACCTTCTTTCAGCATATGTTTACTTACATCAACTCCAAGATCTAGAAGATACTTGACCACACTGATCATTCCACTGGAAGCAGCAGCATGTAAAGGTGTATAAGATTTTTTGTCTTTGCAAGTCACTTCAGCCCCATGGGCCACAAGTAATTTCACTACTTCAATATGACCTGCACAAATAAAGATGGGAAAATAAAGTAAACATATTATCTTTGCTCCAATTCATGTAAAAATACAAGTTACCATAGCTGCATTTCATTCTAAATACACAGATTTCTAATACTAAACCACAAAAATCAGCTAAAATTACTATCTAATCTCCAAAGGAATAAGCACTAAGAAGGCTAAGCCCTTAAAAGAAGTGAGAGAAAAATCTCCTAATACAGCGATAAGACAATGCTTTCATTTCTGCTCACTCCCTATAAAAAAGCAAAGGAGAAGAACTGTCAATAAACATACCAAGTCATTAATGAAAATATCAGAGCAAATACTACCCAGACAACAACACAGCAAACAACAAAGCACAGCGGAAGAAGTTTGCAGATAAATAATGTATTGTATATTTATGGGATTTTTCTTGTAAGCTATTTGACTCCCATGAGCAGGTAACTTTTTTATTAATATATAATACATTATTTTGCTAGATAACAGGAGTGTTTGTCTAGAGTAAGAAAGTCTCCCATTACCAGTCTATAAAAATAGTGTGCGAGGGGTTTTCTTTTTCTTTTTTAAAGATATTTGTCAGTTCTGTTCCATCTCTGGCACCAAGTTTTATTACCTCAAACTAGCTTGCAGACAGCATAAATAATAATTTTCATCTAAAATAATCTCAGAGGATGTCGAATCAATAAGGGCATAACCCACCAACATCTTGGCTCAAGTGTTTATCAATAGCTGAAATCCAAGCCAGTAAGGTTTCAAATATTAACACCACTTAATTCATTGCCATGAGTCAGCAACTGCTGAGCATCCATGAGCTCTCTCTTCCGACAAAAATATGACCTTATCCAGTTGTTTTCTTTGGCACCACGAGTATGGATTTCCCAGCCTGTAGGTCTTATTTCACATCAGTACTGAATAGTCTCCGGATCCCAATTTAATGGATGGAAGATTATTTAACGCAAACTTATAGCATAAAGTTTTTGCAAAGATGTTTTTTTTTTTTTTTACTTGTGTGCTGTGAAACAACTTCTATTATGAACACTCCATGTGTGTAAACAAGTCACTTTTATAACCATTCTGATCCATCATGCATGAATCTACTAGACTGTGTTTTTCAAATATATATTTTCTTATTTTGTAAACAACAGACTTTTCAGACCTCTGTACTAAGCATGCTGGCAACATTTTTAATATCACCTAACAAGTCTTCCTCTATCAACCTACACACATTTGGGGAAGATTCATACATAATCCTTTTCTTCCTTCTTATTTATATAGTGGTAGAGCTTTATATACTGTGGCCTCCCCTAGTCCCCCACGCCTCTCTTTTATTTACATTTGGGTTTGGTTTTTTTTAGTTTGAAGAAATTATTTCAAAAGTGCGTTTTCCCTACTTTTAGCTCTTACCTGAATTTTCTGTTACAAAGGCAAGGTTTGGGACTAACTCCCTCCCCCCAAAAATATGCAGAAGAAAAGCACCACCCAGGTACTTCTAGATTGGATGGAGGGAGAGAACCTTTTATTAGTCTATGATGCAAAAGACAGAGCTACTTTCCACTCAGCCTCCTGGCAACAAGACTATACACCTGATTTATGTTTCACAATGCAGAACTCCCAACAACACAGCCCTCCTATACCCCACAAAGTTCTTGGCAACTTTCCACACAGTCAACATAGGTCAATTTTATATATAGTTGGAATTCAAATTCCAATCATCAAATCAATTCCAAAGACAAGATGGAACATTAATAAAGCTGACTGGATCTCAGTTTGCTAAACAAACTGACTTTAATAGAAGATGGATAAAAACCACAAGTGAAAGTTATGAGAGATTTGTGGATGTAATAAAAGGAGCAGCTAAGAGATGCATCCCAAAGGAATTTAGAAAAGACTATATTCCACGGTGGAATGAAGACAGCAATTGTCTTTATAAGGAATTTAAAGAAAATGGTGATTCTACAACTGCCACCATGCTCTTACAGTCTCTGGACAAGACTCAAAGAGAAAAATGGATACATACAAAGGAAAATCTTTATTTCATCCATTCATCCTGTGCTGTATTATGTCAATTGGGCTCAAGCACTGAAGCTTCAAGACCCAAAACCCACATTAGACTGGAAGTAATAGCCAATCATATTCTTGCACTGTCTAAGGCTGACTGACATGCTTTTTACAAAGCAAGTGAAATCACGTTTAAAGGCAAAGAAACACTCTACTGCATCGTTCTCTTCCTTCTCCCAACCTTTTACTGTACATGAGATGCAAGAGGCCCTTAGAGCCATAAAGGAAGATAAAGCTGCAGGTTTCTGGATATTCCCTGAATTCTTAAAATTTTGTGGCCCAAAAGCTATTCAGTGTCTGGCAAAGTTTTTTTTAATTAATATTTTGGAATCAGGAAAATTAGACTGACAATCCTGTAATTACATAGAAAGGGAGCCTTTCTCCTCTGAAATGAATTATGTCTTAAATTAGAAAACAGATTTTAAATGAATCATCTAATCCATGGGTTGGCAACCTATGGCCTGGATCTGGCCTGCAACAGCAAGGGCACCTTCTGCATCCTGCTCTGTGTATTCCTCTGCTGTGGTTGATGTTAAACCCCTAAATTTGAAACCAGCCCTTCTAACTGGGGCCTGGCAGCAGAGTTAACGTTTACGTTACATATACCATATATCAGTCAAAATGTTTCAGTAAAGTTTGGCTGCCAGTAAAAAGCTTGTAGATTTTCTGTTTAAATGCAGCTTTTTGGGTTGGCAACTGACCCTGGTAAATTACCAGTCTTAAATTTACCAGTAAATGAGATTTTACAGACATGAAGTTGAATTTGTGTTAGATGCTTAGAAAAATTTCAAACAGCATTAGGTAAATCAAGGTAGCTTACTTGATTTTACAATTAAAACGTTCTCAAATATTAGGTGACCCAAGGAAGAGAACCTGATGCCCGAAAGCTTATCCACCAGCTCTCCCAACTATACCAAAAAAACACAACACAAAAGCACTGCTTCCTTTCAAATAATAAAGCATTGTTCCTAATGTACACAAGGTCTAAGAAACTAGATTAAAGATGACAGGTTGACACCACAACAACAGCTCTGTTGCACAGGAGAAGACAAGGAAAGCACACAAGTGAGTGGAAGAACACTGCAGTAAAAGGGAATGCTTATTTATTTCCAGGGCCATGACAATGGAAGGGAGAATAAGGGAGACAAACATCTGCTCCTCTTATTGTGAGCAGCATAATTTCCTAACCTTCTCCTTACCTACCACCATAACGTTTTGTTCCCCTGTTCTCTTTCTGCAGCAGCAGCTAGATGCTCTGTTTATTTTGTGCCACTTAGTGTGTGATTATAAATAACATTTTTGAATCACAAATGAAAAAAGCATGCTAAATGGTAGATCTTAAATCTCTCTCTCTCTCTCTGCCATACATCTATGGCGCTATAAACCACTACACTTAAAAAACGTTGTTTTCACTACTTGAGATTTTTTATCTCGGGTCTAAATCTAATGAGTCTCCCAGGCACCCGGTTTAAGCCTGATGACACCAGATTATATAGGTCTGATTTATCCTACATAGCTGTGCTAGCAGAACTCATGTTCCCTTCTAAGAACAGAACTTTCTATGCTAACGCTGTGAATGATGGGGCTTCTGCCACCAAAGGGAAGCCACAAGGAAGCTCATGTAGATGCAGACATGGTTTCTCCCAGTAGCCATGGCCTCTTCAACAGACAGCGCCTTCCAGAGCGCATGCTACGCCAACACAGCCACTATAGTACAGCCATATGTGCAAGGCCACATGTTGCCAGCTGCCTTATCATAGTTGCTATCTGTCAGCCAAACTTCTACTGATGGAAGATTTATAATAACGTACAGAAGACCACAATCGGGTGTCTTCCTTGTGAGATTTAACATAAGCAAACATGTTTCAAACTTCAGTGATAACGAATAAGCAAAACTTCAGAATTCCTTTTTCGCTTCTTTTAGAAAAATAATTGCTTGTTTTTAAAAGCAGTAGTTTCTAAAGCACAGTTGTTTGCTATACTTAAGTTAGCGGCAATTTGGGTGTTAAATTAACTAAGGCAAATAAACCAAATGCATTAAATATCTGTCCTGGCTGAAAAGCAATGGACTTTTTTCTAAGCAATATTCTCTCAGTAAACGCAATATTCTCTTCAGTATACTATAACTGAAAAGATGATTAAATTATCTATACCTGTGTTATTATGACACATTTTACATGAGCCAAGGCTTATGGAATAGTCTATATTATCCTCCTCAAAAGTTAATGATCTGTTATTCGTCCAGCTAATATCTGCTACTGAAAGATTTCTAATTCTTTCTCTGTTCAAAAGTTAATTTCACTTAGTTGCAGTATGAAAGCTTTAAATGTCTGTGTAGTAACTCAAAGTAATTTACCACTGATTCAGCTTTCCCTCTCCTAGGCACAACTCAAAGTTTTCTTTGAAACAATATCATTAGAAAGTATCTCTTGGAGAAAGTTGTAAAAAATGTTCACTTCTATAGAAGAGAAATTAGAGTCAACAGTGTTCTCCTAAGCACATCAAAGGCATGGATCAACAGAGATATGCCTTTTTATAGCGCCTATTATCTAGATGGATTTTAAAATATTTTCCATATTTTAATGCACCTAAAAGTTATGCATAGCATATCAGGTGTCACAACCCAATTAAATTGTGCCCATGCCACTGAGCAAGAGATACCATTCAAATCATCCTCATTTTGACGATTAAGGGTTAAAAGACATCCCTGCCAAAAATTCCTTGAAACAAAACGCGGCCGGAGTACTGTAGATAATTGGTCAGCTGAAATAAAATGCTAGGGGAAACTATATATAATTGGTCAAAGATAAGCATAAGCTCCTCACACGTAGCACACACGTAACAGGTAGAGAAGCCTAACCCACTACCTTGTAACTTGAGGAGACAAAGAGCTGCCACCTGCCAAAAATTAAAGATTCCATATAACGGTTCACGATTGGGCATCTCTGTCAAACACCTCTGCCTATAAATAGTTTAACGGTTTCCGCCCAAGTCAGAGAACTCTGGGGATCTCACAGGAAACACCTGTGCTTGTCACCAGAGAATTGGGAAATTGATCAATTCCCAATCAATCACCCTGTCAGCGTAAAATATTGACATAGAAAGTCTTGCAAGCTCGACCGTTCGTTCCGGCGCCACGTCCGTCATTATCCCGTTGTAACCTGACTGCGTGCGTGTACTCGACTCTGTAACCGAAGTTATATGCGTATACTCAACTCTGTAACCGAAGCTGTAACGGAACAAAGGCTCGCCTGCGTCGTCCATCACTATCTAGGCGACGTAAGTAAACAAACTCCTGTAACCTACACGTGTCTGTGCCTGGTTAATTCCACTCCATCCATCACTACCCGCCTGCCGAGCTCTAAATCTAAACACTCCGGTGTGAGTCAGGCGGCTGCCGGTGGCTGCTCTGATTCACGACATCAGGAAGGAAAAAAACCCTTATATCCATAGTGAAGTGAAGCTGCTATTAATTCAACAGTACACTGCAAAATTGGTTTGGAATATGAAGAATAGAGTACATAACTGGAATATTAAATTTTACAATTTTTTTTTTTTTTATCAGGACATTAATCCCTAAGAATGCAGCAGGATCCTTAAGAAGTAAAAATGGTCAGGATGCCAGTTCTACATTTAATCCAAGAAATTCTTGTGCTTGCTCAGCATGTAATATTGACATTTCCATTTTCTCCTTGACAGATAAGCTGTACTTGAAGAGCCAGACTGCACTATTCAGATCAAGAAACTATTCAAATCAAGATTAAGGATAGCATCAACTGGCTTTTACTTGAAAATTGATCATAAAACTCAGATTGGTCAACGTTGACTTAACCTCTTAATCACATATTGTGCAACCTGAATTGATGAATGGTTCAGGTTAACTGCCTGGAAATACTTATCTGTGGTTATAGTTTAAAGTGAAAAATAGTATCAGTAATTCTTGTGACTTATTTAGAAATAAAATTGAATTTTCAGCCAAAATTAATAAGTATTTATCAGAGCATGAGAACTAGAAGCCTTTATCGCTCTTTTCCTTCATCTCTTTTTTTTTTTTTTTTTTTTTTTTTTTTTTACTTTAAACCTATGATGCTAGATGCCAGAAAATGTCTGACAGGGACAGATCACTCTAGATCTGTGGCACTCAACCTTTTAGTCCTGCAGGCCAGATGGGTAGCACAGAGCTACCCCTATGTGCTGGATTTCAGCCCTAGGCCCCCGCACCACTTTCACCCAGTCCCACATGCTGGGGTCAGGATCCGGGGCCCTATGCCACCCCACATAGCTGATCAAGCATGCAGGGCCAAAGCCCTCTGGACTCCCCAGGGGTTCACAGGAAGCCCTGTGGACCAGATGACAGTGCTGGGGGCTGGATCTGACCAGCAGGCCAGGGGTTGATCCCCCCTGCTCTATATACATCATGTTCATATGCTCTCCCTCTAAAGCATCCTGTCAATCTATATGTTCTCCCTCTAAATCTCCTGCAACTGCCAGAGATAGACTACTGGGCTAGACAGACCACTGGTCTGACCCAGTATGGCATTACTTATGTTCTTAGCTGTCTTTACTGAATCTTTGCTACAACTGTTTTGAAGGAAAAAAGTCCTGTACTTAATAATCATCAAAGTTCCATATAAAGGACAACTAAGGAAGTGAGTACACTTCTGACTTGGTGGCCAACCCATCATTTGCTCTCAGATGAAAGACAAGAATTTAGTGAAAAAGGCAGTTTCAAATCATAGCTTTGCTCACAATTTTACTATTAAAAATAGCAAAAACAAGGAGCCAATCTCTGATTTAGCCCACTGACCAAAACACACCGAGTAAAAAAGTAGTAACTCTTTCAATAACACTTTGAGTCTAATTCTAATGGGCATGAAGAAAGCTTCATCTCGCTGCCAGTAAGTGAACTGCACAACATAGTTACTCAAATATAAGACAAGTTCCCTCCCACCCCCGCATCCCCAGTGTGCATGGGGAAAGAAGCCCCTCATCTTACATTTGCACATGAAGCAGAAGGCTGCTGCAGGTCTGACTGGCCCTGAGCCCAGGTCAAGGCCAGACCTAGAGCAGCCTCCTGCCCCTGCCCCCCCACTCCACTTACCCTTTGTAGCTTCTGCCCTGCTCCCCAACCTGCCCACCCTTTCCCTCCACCTTACTGTCAGGTACAGCTTGGCTCTGGCTAGGGTCTCGTCTAAGCATGACGCACATGGCAACTCCTTCTCCCCAATGAGCAGCTTTGACACTGCTGCATGGTCAGTCAAGGGCTAGGCTTCCATGTGCTGTGCTCGGGGGGGCTGCAGGGAAGCAAGGAGAGAAAGAGGCAGACACTGGTGGGGTGGGGGGAGGAAGAGACAAACATTGGGAAGGGCAGAGGCTGGGGGGTGGGCAGGGCAGAGGGACCACCAGATCTTCCCCCCACTCCCCCTGCTTTCCCTGCAATTCAAGACAATCCTCCAATACTCAGATTCTATACCTGGAAAATTATAACAAGTTCATAATTTTTTCATATATAGGATCTAATTATTCAGGGGGTCATCTTATATTCAAGTAAATATGGTATTTCTATTCCCGGATTAACAGAAAATGGAATCTCCTCTTACTAGCCACTTGGTATTATTGTAAACATGTTCAAACAGAGATCAGGAATCAACATTAAAAGATTTCTTCTAAATATAAAGACTTTTGTTTTTCTTCATTTTTAAGAATGGACACTAATTTTTTCACCAGAACACATATTAGTAAAGATGAAAGTTTGCAGTGTTCCATTAGTGATTTTATGACAGATATACATACATATCACTAATTAGCAATTACTAAATGACCTTCTTTAATTAAATACTTCTGCCTGGAAATATACAAAACAATTAGAGAGAGAGTAACTTAGCAACCAATTGTGTGTGTGGGAGGAAGAAAAATGTACATACCCATATAAGCTGCCCAATGTATAGCCCGTCTGTCTTTCTTGTCAAATGCATTAATATTGGCACCTCTCGACAACAACAAACTGACCATCTAAGGTGAGAAAGAAAAATAGAGATATACTATGGTTTATAATGAAAGAAATTGCTTAGAATGACGTATAATAAAAATCTAAGAAACAAATGCGTCTTGTGTGAAATAAAATAACCGTTTAATTTAACTGTCTGCAAACTATCATTATTTTTACATTGCTTCTTAATATTCTGTGCTCTAAAATAAGCTGTTTTTACTGTTGGCAACATTATCGGATTATGTGACTTCAATATTACAAAATATTTCAGAGCAACTTGTTATAGATACTGTAACTGCTATGTACATACCACTTAGTAAAACTAAAATATACTAGGAAAAACACTATAAAGTTATCACACTGCAGATTTATATATTAAATTTCTACAAACAGTTCAAAATGATGCAGCCATACTGTAACTATAATAATTAGGAATTCACTATTTTAGTTTATAGGTTGTCAAAGAATTGAGTATTTAAATAAAAGTTGTTGACCGCTCCTGCCAGAAAGAAAAATAATCCATAACTGGGCTCCTAAATGCTAGTTAGTCATCTTACTATGGGAACATAGTTTTTAAAATGCAAACATCCCCACAACAAAGTTGTGGGGCACAAAACCACTACCATATTGCATATGCAATATGAAAACACAAGTAAGCAGAAAATAAGAATTCAACCAGGAAACTCAAAAAAAACCAAGAAGTTTGGGGAGTGGAAGGAATGAGAGGGCTAGGAAACAAAATACAGAAAAGAATTCATACCTCAACATGTCCACTGAAGGCTGCATGGTGCAATGCTGTTCTTCCTGCTCGATCTGATACATTTACATTACTTAGAAGAGGCACCAAAGCTTCAGCACACTTAACAGCTTTATTTGCAGCCGCTATATGTAGAGGTGTCTGCCAGTTTTTGTCACGGGCATTGACATCTGCTGAATGCTTTAACAACACCTGAACAGCATCCTGAAAAATATATGCAAAATAAACAGTATGTATGTTACCCATGAACTAAAAGATAACTTTAAATCCATACACAGTACAAGAGAATTGCACATTCACACATTTTCAGGCCTGCAGTTTACCAAATCCAGCAAGATTCTGCGATGGTTGCAGGGATTTTAGCGATATACTTGGTGCAAGCCAATGGTGAAACACTTCACTTCCAGTCCTTGTTTCATGAACTTGGTAACTCCCTCAAATATAGCCAGGACACTTAAAATTTGCAGCATTGTAGCAACTAAATTGCAAAGGCTTCCATTACTATGGATTAGTACGGTACTCTGCTTTTCTTCCAAAATGCTTTAGAAAAAAATGCAACATACAAACTTTATTTTGTCTTAACTTGAATTAAAGAAAACTTAAAATGGATATAAACTTGAACTTTATGTAATACTTTATTAGAAAAAATGCTATTAAACGCATCAAAAAGTCAGTTCTAGAGCTCAACATCTGTGAAATCATTACTACAACTAGGAAGTAAATTCTAGGAGGACTGTGGTATACATCTTAGACACAAAAGATCAAAGGAAACACTGTCTTAGCAGGAAGTTAGTTACTTGTAACAATGGATTTTCAAGTAAAACAAAACAAATCTGCTTTATATTTTTGCAATACACCCACGTACACAAGTGAGGACTGTGAATTTAGATTTTGACATTAAAAAGTCTTCACAAAACTATAGGAAAACGTATACGAAAACAAAGAGCCCACTTATATTTAAAATGATTCAAGTGCCTATGAGGAGAGACTGAGGGACCTGAACCTGTTCAGCCTTGGCAAAAGTAGGCTGAGGGGGAACCTGGTGGCTGCCTACAAACGCATCAGGGGAGATCAACAGCAAATAGGTGAAGCCCTTTTCTCCCCAGCGCCACCTGGGGTGACGAGGAACAATGGTAATAAGCTGGTGGAGAATAGGTTTAGGTTAGAGATCAGAAGGCAATATTTTACAGTTAGGGTGGCCAAAATCTGGAACCAACTTCCCAAGGAAGTGGTCCTCGCCCCTACCTTGGGCAAATTCAAGAGGAGGTTGGACGATCACCTGCCTGGGGTCTTGTGAACCCAGCATTCATTCCTGCCTGTGGCAGGGGGTCAGGCTAGATGATCTGATCAGGTCCCTCCTGACCCTAGCTACTATGAAACTACGACTAGATGTCCTTGTTAACAGTGCTTGCTTTCCAGTTAGGGGTTAGGCCTAGAAGCATCATAATGAAACCAAGAATAAATTAAAAGGCTTCATTTACTACCAAACACAACAGCTTAAATACTATTTCTCTTCCTCAGGAACACGTCAGGTACAGCTAGTCATTGCGTCTTCCCCTCATCTCTCTCTGTCTACGTGTATGGTATTACCATGTATATAAACGCTTCCTAGGCAGACAAGGTTCCTTGGGTGAATTTGATATCTTTTATTAGACCAACCCAAATGGTTGGAGAATAGTTATTAAGCAAGCTTTCGGGTTCAAAAACCCTTCGTCCTAAATGCTTCCTAAATATTTACAATTAGTGGGGGGAAAAGAAAAGTTACAAACTTTTGCTATCCCGGTTCTAAATAAAATTTAATAGTTTTGTTTACTTGCACGTTGAAAAAAACCTAAATTGAACAAATTGGTTTTACACTTAAAAAAATTTGCTCCGTCAGCATTTTTCTTTGTAGAAGTCAGTTACACTATCTAGGTTCAATGAAATAACCGTTTCATAGGGATGTGCAGGGACTGGTGCTTTTGTGAGCTACCTAGGAGAGCAACTAACAGTACTATGAAGGATAATGCATTCTTGGGCAATGAACTGCTGATCTAAAGCTCCCTGTGGGACAATATAACTTCAAATCAATACCTAGATAGGTCAGTGACCACATGTCGTAATTTGCCCCTGTAAATATAAAAGAAAAATCTAAAAATATGTATGATTTAGGTTCTGTGTTTAATCTCCCTTAAACAAAAAACAAAAACCTAACTACCTGTTTCCTGAAGTTTTTTTGAAACAATAATACTAATCTGATTCAGGGGATAAACAGATGGAACAGGAGGATCAGCTGTGCTATGATCTGCTTTACGGGCATCTACAGGTGTTAGCTGGGGCTGTTGTCCCAAAAGGTTGGACCCTCCTGCAGTTCAAGGCCTAATCCTGCAGAACAGCCTCAGATGCCATGCTCCAAAGGTGTTCCCTCACTTGCAGCATACACCCCAGCTTGAGGCAAAGCTGCACAATATGCATGCCACACAAATCCTCTGCAGAATCCGGACCCTAAAACCCAATGAGCACCTGCCCTGGGGTGGCTGGAGAGCACACACCCCTGGGCCATCCACACTCTCATGCCATAAGCAAAGAGACATCCACTGTGAAAACATGGCACAAACTATTCCTAAAAATTGTTGCAGTCATATTTTGGGCATTTGAGGCATACCAACGTGCATGGATACTAGGGCTGTGCAAAGCTTTGGTCCCCGATTCAATTTGGCTCAATTCAGAGTCTGAATCGCCGAATCTGAATCGAATCAGAAGACCCCTTAATCTCTCCAAATTGAACTGGAACCCTCCCTCCACATTGATTTGGAGAGATTCAGAGATTTGGACATAAAGACAGCTTTAAATGTTTTTCTACATGCCACTAGGTAGTAGGGGCTCATGAAAGGTGCAATGCTGGAGAGCAGAGTGTCCCACAGAAGCACAGGGGGCTCCCCAGTACACTCGGCAGCAGACCCGGAAGTGGACCAGAAGCACTTCCGTTGCACTTCCAGGTCCGCTGGGAAGTGTGCCGTGGATATGGGGAGGCACCCAAGGTCCCCCTGCGGCTGACTGCCGAGCTGGGAGGGCGTGGTGGGGCCCCCCAGCGCACTCCCTGGCAGACACAGAAGTGTACCAGAAGTACTTCCAGTCCGCTTCTGGGTTCGCCGCCGAGAATGTGGAGGGCCCCTGCACACTCCTGTGGGATGGATGCTCCATGCCCCCTAGCATCGCACCGTTCACAAGCCGCGCCTGCTACCTCAAGGTATGTAGAAAAAACTTTTATAGCTGCATCTGTGCCTGAATCACTGATTCTCTGAATCAGCATCGAATCTTCAGATTTGGATTCGGCTGAATCGAAATGAATCGAATCAGGGACAGTGATCTGAATCAACTAATCAAATCACTGTCCCTGATTTCAGGCCAAATCCAAATTGAATAGGGCGCACTTCGCACACCCCTAATGGATCTCTGTTTGCTCAGGATTTGTACAACCCTAAGTGCTTATGGTGTCACACGGGCAATGTCTGTTTGCAGTTCCAGATTCTTATCACAGCTAGGTTCTACATAATTCTTCAATGATGCAAGAAATACCCTTGGTCTTAAAGTTTAGCTCTTTTATACTGCCAGTATTTTTCTTCTCCAGAGTTTTAAAATTCCAATGAATCTCTCAAAAAGAGATGAAATTGGATCTGAATTATATAAATTCACCACTGAAATTTTCTTCCTATGATACTGCTGTATTTAGTAGGATATTTTAATATACAAGAGTCTCTCTCTTTCTCTCCCTCTTTCCATATATATTATTTTCTTTTAAGAGCCTACAATTGGAATTAAACAAATAGGCATTAATATTAAGTTAAATGATCTATAGAAACTGTGCTGGCTTATTTAAGTACTAGCCTACTGCTTGGCAAGAATGATGGGTGGGGGAAGGAATGGGATGGGATGGAGCCTGTAGGGAGTCACCGCCTCCAGGGAGTGGGGCCCTCATCCCCATGCCAACTCTGCTGCCACCTGCAAGGATGGGGGCGTGGCCAGCAGTGCTGGCCTCACCCCCCCTTCCCGTCCATTCATTGTCTTTGTGCCCTGCAGTGATCAGAGGGGCAGGCAGAGCAAGCGCTGCTGGCATTGCCTCCCCAATCCGTCGGCTCCATGGCTGCTGCCTCCAGGGAGCAGAGGCCTGGGAGCAGCAGCACTTGCCCTGACCCCCCTCTCCATCCGCTCCATCTTCTCTCCCTGCAGAGAGCAGGGGGGGGAAGAGTAGAGGGGGGGATGGGTCCAACCCTGGCTCCATGGGTGCTGCCTCCAGGGAATGGGCGGGGGGGGAGGGAGGGGGGCTGGGCCAGCCACACTGGTCCCCCCAATCCATCCATGCTGTTGCCACTGCCTGCAGGGATGGGGGAGGTCTGGCCAGTGGTGCTGGCTTCCCCCTGCGCCCCCCTTTGTCTGCTCTGTCTTTGCACCCTGTATCCCTGCCGTCATGGGATGCTGCCACCTCCTATCCAGAACGCTCTTCGAGTGCTCCGATTGGTTCAGACAACCAATCAGAGTACGAATAAAGCGTTATGGACAGACAGACTACAGCTTTTATATCTACAAAATTTGCAGTAGTTTTACCTTATAAAACAGAACCAGAAGACAATTTGAGATGCTGTATTTTACTTTACCATCCTTTAAAAAAAAAAGCAACAACAAAAAAAAAAAGCACAAAGTCCATACCTCGCTACAAGATGCAACAGCTCTATGTAAAGGAGTCAACCATTTGCTGTCTTTGGCATTAACTCTAGCTCCTGTAACCAAAAAAAACCAGAGAGATTAGAAATACATTCTTATAAAAACTGGAAGTTCCAGCCCCCAAGGTACTTTAATGAAAATGTTAGAAAATTATTATTCCAGACTTATTAATATTGCAGAATTTAAAAATTAACATCCCACTTCTCCAAGGGCTCTGAAATTAAAATATAGGATTCTCCTTTTGATGAAGGGAGAGAGAAATGTTATGTGTAATTCTTTATTCACCAACAGGTAAGCATGTATGTTTACCTACAATTAATCAACCTTTTGTTTTACCAACTGTCCTTCAAAAGGCTGAAGGGAGAGAGAGAGAGAGACCGAGAAAGAAAGAATGTAAGAACAAACATTGGGCTATTCCTGCCTTCACATACCAACAAACACTTCAGTACCCTTCCACCAACCAAAACAGAGGCATGTAGAATAAAGGGAGATTTCTTGATATCCATTCCCCAAAATCCATTTGAAAGACAGGAATGGTATTTACTGTTTCAACTCAAAACATTGGGTAAGAGAAAAATCAAGAGTTGATCTTTTTGATCTCAGGACCACTCAGCTGGCTTTAAAATTCTTTGAAGCTGCTTCCTCCTTCCTGTGACTACAGAAATGCTCTATCTTCAGCAATTTGCCTACAATAAACCTGTCTCCAGAAACCCTACTGTGACATCAGAGAAAATGTTCCTTCTAGTACCTCTTCATAGCCAACCAAGGACTCCTGGGAATGCTCAAAACATGTTTTTTATTATTATTATGCCTACTTTTGGCTTGGTCCTCATTTTTAAACAAAAGTACACATATGAGTAAGTATTACAGAAATCAGCTAAGTCGGGAAATGATTCCCCTCCCACTATCTTCAGGAAATTCCAATAAAACAAACAAAAATATGCTAGCAAATAATTTTTTGAATGTTCAATTCAGAGCTGAAAAACTGTCTGCCTGTAATTGCTACCATTGAAAACTAGTCTTTAAAATTAATGTTCCAATTTAATTGAAAAATTTGGCAAAACCAAAAGTTTCAAACAAAAAAATGCTGACCACATTTTAGTTAAAAACCTATACACCAAGCTAATATTGGAACTCTTAATTTGCAATACAGACTTGAGTATAAAGTTGAGAAACTATATTAGGATGTAAACTGGTATCACGTTTAATTATTCAGAAGACGGCTGAGCACCTTGATAAAGCACAATCCCAATCTTGCAGAATTTTAGATCTTCTTCAGATTTGTTCTACTTTCTACTAAGTAAATATTTAAACCATGCCTTGTAAAAAAAAGGAATGCTGCTGCATGTACCATATTTCCATATTTATAGTTGGGGATCTGCTTAATTGACAGTTTCATGGATTTTGTGGAAACAGCAAAATCCAGAATTGTCCGTGAGATCCATGAAATCAACAAAAAAAATAAAAATAAAATGCAGTGGAAGCTGGTGGTCCTTGCTGCTGGGATGGGAAGGCGCCGACTTGCGGGACAACACATAGGGCAGCAGACAAGATGGCAGCTGCTCCCTTGTCCCTCCCTCTCCCTCCCCAACAATCAGTCAGCACCAAGGGATGGGGCCACAGTAAAATGACCTCAGATTAGAAGTTTAGGCCACAATCAACCCACAAATATGGGCAAATCCCCCCATGATTTAGGTAAACCTCTATTTATAGCAATTTATCTATGAAAGTCCTAAGGAGGTAAACAACTGAAATGAAAAGCTTGCATTGTTCTTACAAGATACAGATTGTTTTTTAAAGAGTATTTCTGACTAGAGCTGCTAACTGTACATAGAGAGTGCAAGATGACCTCAAAACAAAACGTATATAAACCAGCAAAACAAAGAACAGATTAATTCCTTCAAATCAGAGGGCATAGAGATGACTCTTTCA